ATAAAAAATTCGTCATGATTGTCATCTGCAAACAACTTGGTTAGTTGATATTAAATAATCAGCTAAAAAAAAGATCATTATGCATAAAACAAGTTGGAAGAAATTTAACCGAGAATATAAAGAAGGAAAATTTATAAAGTTGTTAGTTAACGAAAATTTATCTTAGTTATTAAAAAAAAATTTCAAAAGTTTCCTCATCGGGAGTATTTAACCTTAATCATTTATGGATGATCTGATAATTTGCCCAAGGCTTCACAGATTCGAACTGTTCATCTTAATTTAAAATTAAAAATAAATAAATTAACAATAAATTATCCATTACCTTCAAGATTTCAAGGTTCCACCTTTCTATATGGTAAGTTTGTAAATGTTAGGTTTTTTTTTTTTTGAAAAAAAAAAAAAACTAATGAGATTTTCCATTAGAACTTACCTCTGATCTAAGATTCCCAGATTTAAGTTCCGGATAGGTCTATAAAGGTTAACTAATATTTTTTAAATAATATATATATATTCAGTACAAACAAAATTCTCCATTACGCTTATTTCCGATCTGATTCCAATCAAAGATTTAGGTTCTGAACCATTCTACAAAGGCAAGTTGGTAAATATTAGTTTTAGTATTTTAAATAAAATACAAAATAACTACCAATTTCCTCTATTAGAACTTACTTTTAATCCAATATTAATCACATGATTTGAAGTTTATAGACTGAAGGGATCTTAATGTTATGTTATCTACCAGATTTAGCGAAGGCAATTATGAATGAATATCCTGTTTTTTTGTTAAATGTAATAACCATTATGTAAATTTTGCTATTCCATTTTTGTATATTCTAAATGCACGTTATGTAAAAATTATTTTGTATACTACAATATGAAGTAGTTTCCTAAAACAACTACTCTGGCGAGAAAAATAGCATGATTATACTAATTACATCATTTCTTAACATAGAAATTCTTATGTAAATCTGGTATCCATTCTTTTTATTAAGCAAATTGCATCATTACTATTATAGTCTGTAGGGATGTTAAATTGCTTCAACAAAGCATATTTAAACTGAGTATAAGCAAAAGCTTTTTTTCAACTAGCCTTAAAACGTTCTTTGAGCTTGCTTAACACTTTTGTTAATTTGAGCTTAAAAAAGTATATATATAGTGCGTTTGATCAAAAAAACTATATGAAGCATATATTATTAAAAATTATTCGAATAATCAATAAAATTTCAACAAATATTTATTTAAAATTTACACACACATAATTATTTAATTATTTTAAAATAGCAATTGGTTCAACAAATTTTCCATCATAAATAATATTGACATAAAAAATAGATAAGCAAGCTTACACTAACCCACTTAAGTAAATCAAATCTAACTATATAATACATCTGTGTTTAACTAATATAGTAAGCTCAATCGCTCAAGAGCTTATTTTCTCAAAAAAGCTTAAGCTTAAAGCTGTATTGAGCCGAACTTAAGTTGAACTGATTTAGTTTAGCAATTTAACATCCCTAATAGTCTGTCTTTAATCTTCTAAATACTCAGACTCAATAATAATAATTATGAATTACATTTAATGTTAAGCAATCAATTTAGTTTAATTTTTAAAAAAAAATTTCAATTATTAAACTTTTATTATAAATCAGATGATCTTGTGTTAACCAATTATAATTTTTTCTTGATGTCGGGATTTATTTTTGGTGCCGCAGAAATTTCCAAAAGTATCGAAATTATTAAGACTGCTTTTAAAGCTGTGGGGGATTTGGGATTTGATTTGGAACATAGGAAATGGGATATGGGATTTTAAATTTAGAATTTTATAGTATAAAGTATGGCTAGCAACTATAACTGCCAATGTATTTTTACCCTTCATTTTTAAAACAATCTCTAAGACAAAATCAAGACATACAATACTATAGTATAATAAAAAAAAAGTTACCCGATTCCTTAACAGGTATTACCCATTTATACCCAGTTAGCATTGTATCATATATATAATCCAAGTAATATCCGGGTAAATCCGGATACAAATATTAAAAATAAAGATTTTATTTTTAAAATTTAAACACTTTTTATTATTTGAATAAAGATTTTATAGATACATTAACGCTAAACTTTATTATATAGATGCTGCCTTATTTGTATGATATCTCGTTTATTAGGTTATTAAGATTTCTCAAATTTTCTTGATGTGTATATAAAAGTTCAATTTTCCAAAATTTTTTAAAATAAAATAACAAAAGATGATAGAAACATCGCATGATTTACTTGTTTGTACTAAATGAAAGTAAAATCCTTGACCGAATGATCGTGGCGAGAGAGATATAAAGAATATTATTTTTAATTTAATTTATGATTCTTGGAAATTTATTATTAATTTAAAATCAAAATACATGGAATTCCATGTGATTTGACACTAAAATATTAAAGTTTGGGATTTTTTTGATACTCAAGCTGATACACTTTCTTGGTTTCTCAGCATTACATGATATATTACGTAAAAGCTGTAAATGATTGATCAATTACAGTACGTTATTAATTGCATTTGGAAATTATATTGTTAATAAATTTATTGGTTTTTGACTCTTACTTTATTTAAATACTTGGTTGTATGTATATCAATATATACTCTTAGGTAATTTTATTACAAAAAAAAAAATAATAATACCCTTCCCTATCAAATTTTTTAAATTAGTCAAACCCTTACAAATATTACCCGTTTATCATTCTATGATCCGTGTTATTGGGTAATGAGTCGCAGCTTTATCAAACATGCGATATTTAAATTATTTTACTATTGAACGATCGGTAACTAACCGGTCAATCAAAATCGATCGGTCAAACGGTCAGCCTTTGACCGACCATGATGTGATCATAATTTCATGTAAAACCTAGACAGGTTAATTTTATACAATTGTATAATTCCAAAATTGATAAATTTAGAAAGCGATGCCTTTTACAGTTAATAAATAATCATATTTTTCAAACGTAACGTAGACATATACTATACAAAATGCATGTATTTATCTTTTATTAACTTGAAATACCTCATAATCATCTATTTGAATCTGACCTTTCGGAATATCAATTTGAGTATAAGCACTTGGGTTATTAGCATGCCAAGTATCGGAATACATATAAAGATCGTAACTAATCTTACTATTAGAATAACCAAATACCGGACCATTATTTGGATGACAAAAAACAGCATAATGAGCATGATCCTCTTTAATATAACCTACTTTTGCAGCTTGAAGGTTTGTTCTATTTACGAATGAGAAAATAAAACTATCTTTTGTAGTTTTCCATTGATTATTTCTTTCCCACCCAAATGGATTATATCCTCCCACTATTTGTTCCATTCCGTTAATTTTTATTAGGACTATATTTCCCCCTTTGTTATCACATTTTTGATGAAATGCTGCAGTTGTATTACCATCCCTACTGGCACGATAAAGTAAATTATAATTATAAGGTGAGTTCTTGGCATTATAATGCAAATAATTTTTCTTATCGATCCAACTGGAAAATATAGCAAAATGTTTAGATTTAACTAGGATTGAATTACATTTGGATTGTCTAGGTGGTTGTATATTAATATTAAATTTCTTATCTGGTGCCCAGGCATATGCTAAGAGATCGACAAACAAATCCTTTGGTAGTAATTCCTTAAAAGGAAGTACTTTTTCAAAAAAATCTTCTGAAGAAATATAATGAAATCTAACTAAAGGGATATATCTATGAAGAGTTCTTTCCATAACTGTAGTTTCTTCATTGCTCCATTCTTTGACGCTTTTAGGAATAGACGGGTTCTGAGCATAACCCCACTTAATTAACTTATCCCAAACATCAATTTCATCCAGACTTAAATCATCCCGTTTTAAAAGGAATTCTAATAAAGGTGCTTTTATACTGAGAAATTTATCAGAATTAAAAAACTTTACGGGGTCTTCACAAATTTTTTCAAGATAAAAATTTCGTAATTTAGTGAAAGTTTCATGTTGATAAATTATTTCAAGAATTTCTATAGGATTCTTTTGTAAAAACTCATGATGTTCTTTAATTAAATAATCTTCAATTTCGGGAACTAATGATTGAAGATTAAGTACACCTGCCGCTTTTAAGAGCTTTAATATTTCAGTTCCTTCTAATTTCGTCACGTCAATCCTTCCGCAATATAAAAATCTGAAATTCAAAAGGGATATTAGTAACTTGGTTTATATTATTGTCGTAGTTGTCGACTGATTTACCTTAAGATAATTTTAAAAAGATTTGGAGGAATGTTGGGTATTTTTAAAATAAATTTCCCTTCCTTTTTCTCAACATTTTCTTTAGTTAATTCATCGTAAAAATATTGCGACCTGAAGCACAAAATATTTGAAAGGGCATGTAGTTCTTTAAGGTTTTCATTTTCACCGGCATAAATAATGACATCATATCTTTTGTCATTTTCAAATAACCTTTCATAATCATTAGCGACTCCTTGCAAACATTCGATAGACATTTTTATAGAAAGGTTACAAAAAGTTAAAATGGTAAAAAGAAACAAACCATTGAGAAAATTAAGACCATCGTATGCTATGCATGTTAATTGTGTAAAGTTACACCACATTTATGTTTCCATTTAGTGCGACGCTTATCCCGTAAAGGTGATTTAAATAGCTTAGCGCTCGTCTCAACCAAAAAATTTTAATAATATAAAAAAAAAAAATAAATAAAAAGAATAGCAACCATCGTAGCATTAAATTTTTTTTTTTAAAAAAATATAATCTTCAATAATAATTCGATTTTATTTATCCGTTTTATTTTTTCGACCTTTCACCTCCACAAAAAAAATAAATTTTATAAAAAATCACCTACGTCGAGATCCTTTAAATATTTAGTTAAAAATTTCTTTTTATCGCCTTTATTACTCATAAAATGGGTCTAATCATTTATTAACCCGAATGCGATAATACTTAAAAATTTTGTCTAATCAATATTTTCATTACTTTGTGAGATCAGCTTCTCGTGTGATATAATCCTTCAAAGAGTAATTTAATATTAAAGCTCAATAGGGAAGATCCTGAACCAACTCCTTTTGTCACAGCTATCGTTATATGGAGTGGTGAACCTCCTTTTGCTAGACTTCCCCCTGCGTACGCATCAAAAAATGGTCGGCATTTGGCTAGAATTAATTGTGGCGCAAATGTTGACGATTATTCATTAACGAAAGTCCAAGTCCCATGAATTTTGTGACACTCCTGTTGCTGCTACCAGCATGCCTTTTTAGTTTCATAAACTTACATCTTATCTTGTGATTCTCGTATATCGCACTTCCTACCGGTAGACACTAACTAGATATGGCTCTTATTCTTTCTTCGGAACCATTTCGATGTAGTTACTTCTTCATATGAAGGTGGCCAATTTTCTTGTTATGCTACTGCTCAAAAATAAATAAAATAAAATAAAATTTGAAATGGTTATTTTTTTGCAGGAATTATGCTATTGAAGCTTTGGTACCAAATATAACTCCTTTCATCTTTTTATTTTTGTAAAGCAGTTATTGCTGGGAATATTTACCTTTATAGCTTATTTTGTGAGTCTCGCATATAATTCCTGTCGGTAGGCATTTCTTTCGATAAACTGGGATGCTTAGCTATTCTTTTTCGGGCCATTTCTCCACAGGTGCGACAATGGTTGATCAAATTGACCATTATGTCAATTTTTGCATTGAAATAAAAAAATTTTTATAATTTTTTTTTTTTTTTTGCGTTTCATTTCGAAATTAAAAATTTTGGTTATTTTTCGATTTGTGCTCTGCGAAGATTTAACATAAGTTTTTTCATCTCTACAAGTGTTACAATGGTTGAAACCGTTGGTGTTGTTGCAATTGTCGTAATTGCCATAGTTTGTCCCAATATCTGAATTATTTGCTAGCTTTTCTTATAAATTTATTGAATTATATTGTAAGGAGAGAGGAAAGTGAGAGAAATTGTTGTCTAAATGTCTAAAATGATAATTCATTTATAGTCCAACAAAATAATGTAAGTTTGACGTAAGACATTTGATTATATTGACATAATCACTAACTTTCCACATAATTTACAATCATTATTATTTTGAAATATATCTTTTTTATAAGCTTTAATGAGCGCTGAATCATGACTTGCATATATTTGTTTGAAATATAAAATATCGAAGCAATTTTCACACCATTCATGAATGTCTTTGGTGCAAAATCTTGTATTCATAGCTTCATTACATTGTACATTCTTGTAATTATAAGTACAGTACATACAAATACGAATTATTATCAGCTAGATAACTAATATACTTTGAGAAACAACTTTACAATATTGCTGGTAAAATAAACCTGTTGTAGAGTATTCATTTCCGCAAGGACATTTATATCTTTAATATTCGTTTTGCCACAGTACTAGATTTTATTGTGGAGTTGGGTCAAAGGAATTTCATTATATGTAGTCGTTAGTTCCTTGAATTTGGAATATAGCAAACCTAATATTACACGGTTTGGATTAACATTTTCCGATTCTGGTTTAAAAGTTGGAATTCTTCGGGAGAGTTGCCTCGAATATCCTTGTTGATTTTCAAATTAGAGTTCTAGCATTTTTGAATCCATTCGAGAATTTTATTATTTATTTTATGAACAATAAGTTTAACAAAATTAGCGCCACCGAAATCTCATTTTAGATCAATCCTTTTAAACTAATATAAAAATTGATAAGTTGCTGTTGTGTAAAATATTATTTATTAAAATTTGTATAATATAATTCATGTTTTTATTTAAAGTTCAAAATTCAAATATGAATAAGAATCAAGATTCTCACATTATGAAATATTAACGTTACAGTATACTGAATTATATAATGATAGTGACATTTCTTATCATCTTTATAATAGAATCGGTTCAAAATTCCTTTATCAATAAAAATGATTTCGTTAGACTTTTTTCTTTATATTATGGAAAACAAAAACCAAATCAAGCTAATTTTTCAGACCGAAACTCCATGATCGGCATTTGCGTTAACTTGTTTACAAAACGTCATTTGTTCCTTTTTTCTCATAAAAATTATTATTCACTGGTTGTCTAGGATTCAAGAATTCTTTAAATATGGTTCGTTATTCGATTTCTTTAAATACTCTGTAGATTTAGTTTAGTGATAGAATAATTCATCCATGATTGGGATTAAAAAGATTTTGGTAATAATGTATTTAATGGCGATAAATTACTTACTTTTTGGTTAATAATTCCTTTTATTTCTAGTTAAATCAATAACATTTCTTTTCAAATATTGAAATTGATTCAAAAAAAATTACTGATTTAATTATTAATTTCACACTCACATGATTATGATGTCATCTGACGTAAAACACAGTGTTGAAGTGATAAAATTTTCGCTTTAGCAAAGCTTATCTAAAATAATTATGTTCACGAGATGCTTTTTTTTTGAACATGGTATTTATCTTCGTTTTGACAACTTTACATCAATTTAATTTAATTTTTCCTTTATACTGTATTTGTGAAATAGTAGGGCAAAGATATGAAAATAATAATTCGAACCTGAATCATTACATACAAATAACCTGGCAACAACACTACTTAATAAGATTAGGCATGATTATACTTAATGGCCTTGAGTTCATTATTACTGCCTCTGTCGTCGGAAATAGTCTATTAAACATAACCAGTTCTTAATACAAGTTGGATGTATAAAATGCAAGTAGATTTTTAGCCCAAATGTCGAATTGATATGATATAATAACAACATAGTAGATATTTTAACATATTATTACATTGAAGATAATTCCGCCCAAAATCTCCATAAATCCGCATGAGAATCGCTTTTGATATTTGCAGTTAGCTTGGTTTGAGACGATTCCAGGTCTAACAACGGTATTGCCGAAAATTGAGGAAACGATGATTTTTAATAAAGTTTCTTTGATTGAATTGAAAATTTTTTAAAATTTTCAATAAATATTTAAATAAAGGAATAACAATGATCCTATTATAAACTTCTCAGTAAAAATAACACATGGCGGAAGCTGATAAATTACGTGAACTTACGCTTGAGGATTATTTTATGACGACAGACTAGCTATTAAATTCACGTTCCATATGATTTAATTAGTCTCGTGACCAATGTTATATTATCTTGATAACAAAAGAAAAATTGAATTATTTACGATTAAGAAATTAAAAATTAAAATTATCAAGCGCAAAAAATTTATAAAAGAAAAATACTAATATTGATTCAATATCGATATCGAGTATTAATAAAATTTAACTACAAAGAAAATGCTTATAGAATTTCTTCTGCTCATATACTATTAATTTAACTGAAAATGAATTAGTGCCTTATATAATAATACTGAACTCTAAGATTCACAAGCAATTTCTCAGATTATAGAAACTCGTTCGAAAAATTAATAATTATTAATAATTTTATCAGCAAAATGTTACAAACCGACTTCATGCGCAGTAAATTTTCATCACGTGTCACATATTTTTGATTAAATTTATCAGAAACTTAAAATATTATGGTGTGCCACAGAAGTGAGTAGCATAGTTTTCGCATTATAGGAAGGAATATTGAATTAGCATATAACATTCCTTAAATAATATTATAAAAATGCCTTTTAGGTCGCAGATTTTTTAGATGAAGAATTAAACTAATATGATGTTGAGAAAAGGGATGGGAAATATATAATAAAATTATCTAATTTACTTTTCAAGGTGATTGATATGGATTAGTTTATTTGACTGAGCTTATTTGCTCAAAACACGTCCGTTACTAAAGATAAGCATCGAAGAAACGACAATTTTGGACAACTATTTATAAACGTATAATATACCTTCTGGAGGGCTTTAAAAAGGTTGAAACATATCGCGCCTTTGAAAGTATTTTGCATGAAATGGCAAAATCCATTACCAGTGAAGTTTCGGTATAACTAAACTAATTATCCGGTTCAGATAATTAAACTCATCACGAATAAAGTTATATCATATGTTGCATCAATTTTTAAGTAATTAAATTAATGACAAATTGTAAAATATATTTGCACGGCGATAAAAATAAAAGTTGTTTACAATACTAAATATAAGCGTTGCTTCAAACCCAAATGAAAATTTAAAATCGTAAAAATATACTTTCCATAATACCAACATTTCTTTATCAAATGCTTTGATGTCTTGTTCTAATTAATCAGGTTCTTCGGCCGCTGCTTGATGTCTCTGATCTATTAAAGATCAAACCTTTAAAAGTGGTTGGCAAAGTCTCAGTGATTTATTATTTCAAAAAGTTAGTGCTTATTTGGAAAATTTAGAATTAAAGCTTACGATAAACAAGAGAAGGATGCCCCTCCATTTCATAATATTATTTATCATATAAGGGAACACTTCAAATATCTTTCGATTGGGAATGATGATTATTGTTCCAATCCATTAGAGTACCATGTTAAAGTCAATTCAAGTATTTTAACGGGTTTAGGTCGAAACTTATCAAAATCCTTGAAATATTTAAATCTAAGTCTAACAGCCATTTATCCGAAGGATTAGGAAATCTTTATTGATAATTATCAACTGGTTGGGTTAAACAGATTATTATTTAGAAATTATAGCAAAAATTTTTAGTATTGATACTAATTCTTAAAAATTTTGAAAGAAATCTCAGAAGGGAAAATGGTGAAAAACTTTGCTTATCAAGTCAATCACCTTTTGATCATAAATATAAAGCTTTAGAAAAGCTGGCTGGTCAGTTTCAACCTTTTTATAGATTAAGAAATACAATGAGTTACTTGTGACCATTTCTGATATGGAAATTTGATATTGTTGGCATAAAGAAAACGAAAAATTACGATTACAATCTCCACCTTACAATTATTTACAGAAATAGAGTTTCGGCAAATGCTTTTAACAATTTTTAAATTCTATACAATAAGTCTTGTTGCTCAATATAGAACAGCTTATAATGAATATTGTAATGGATTTCCTATTTAATAATGCTATTTGTCGTTATTCCTTGTATTCCTTATATTCTTTCATGATAAAATAAGTTTATTTCGATTAAAATATTTATTAGATCTTAACGCGTGAGAAATTATTGTTGGAAGGTTCATCATAGGGGTACTGACCCATACATATTCGCATATTCTTATCAAATCATGATGATCGAATGAAATGAGCAAAAAGCTTTCGATCATTACATTACGTAACGACTTGATTTAATCATTACTAGCCTTCAAAAACAAAATAATAATTT